GCTGAGATGCACTGAGCATGGCATCGTCCTCAAGCACTGCTCCCCGGGCGCTGACCACGGCTGCCCACTGTTCACTTTGGTGATGGGTTAAATGCAGAGGTTAAATTTCGTTGTGCATGGTGTGCTGTGCTGTGCTGTGTCACAATGACAAATAAAGATAAGTTTAGTTTTTTAAGTTTTTTAGAAGAATGTGAAGCACTTATCTCTGGTGAAGCTGCTGCTCCGTAAATGCCTGTCTCTTTTATGCCTACACATCCCATAATGCTGTCTCAGACTTGCTGTTGCCTACTGTCCATTTTCCTGCCCTTATTGAGAGCTTACCTAATGCACCAAAGAGTCAATCACTGTTATGTGTGAGTCTGGGTCCCTGGTTCCTTTTTTTCTTCTAGACATTCCCTCCACCTCTACCTCGGCGTCCTTCCCTTCACCTCTTACAGTGACACTGGGTTGTTAATGACTTCTCTGTGGTTTGTCTCTCAGATGACGCTGACTGCTGTTGATTATCCAAACAAAGGCATTTACAGCACAGACGGATCAATGCACAGACACCTGATAGTGTGACACTGGCATCAAACTGAACAAGCACTTGTCCGGTGGAACCGTTTGATTCTAACTAATGCCAGTCTTTTTAAATATCGATTCCTGTGGGATGCATGTTTCTTTTTATTTTTTTCTTGGTTTTAATTCACCTGAAGCGGTAGTACTTCAGGTACCAGTTACATCTGGATGCTTTCAGCTCTGATATCATGGGCTTTAAGTGAAAAGCGTGAGAGCTGAAGGCCTCCATAAAGCTGTATCAAAGATCACAGCCTCGAGGAGAGCGTTGTGGTAAATTACAGCTCAGCCGAAAGAAAGGGATAAGAAGCTGATGGAGATACAGCCTAATTGCTCGTGAAAGTCTTCCTATTAACTGGTGGAATCAAATTGTCTGTGTGGGAATGGGCTACCATTTTAACCTCTGTTGGGCTACACAGTCAGCTGGTTTCTCACTTTACAGGGGAATAACGACACACACACACACACACACACACACGCACACGGATAGTGAATGACACGGCGGAAGATAAGAGGGAGAAATAAATTTGCACACCATTCTATAATTGTTCTTCTCCCTGCACTTTGACTTCCTCTCTCCCCGTCTCCCTCTTAGCGCCCATCATTTATTGGCTAATGTCTCTGCCTCTACTCAGCTTTCAAAAATGTTCACTGCTTTATCTGTTTCTCCTTTTCTCCACTCTCTATCTATCTTCTACTCTCATCCCTCCTTCAGGGAATAAAATCAGCTGCATCAGCACGATGGAATCCCTCCCACCCTTATGTATGCACACACACACAAGCTCGCATAGGATGAAAAACACACTCACACATGCACAGAGAGAGGGAGGGAGAAAGAATGGCCTAATTTAGTCACCATTTACAGCAGTAAACACACATTTATATATACGTATATATATTTTTTTTTTATTTGGGGGCAGGCGGACACACGCAGAGAAAATCTCAAGAAAAATACGATGTGTTCTGATAAGTACACAATCATAAATCCCAGGGTAGCCGTAAGTTCTAATGATGAAGGTGCTCACCATGACTCACCCTGGCGCAAAGTAGCCTCATGGTCTCGATTTTTTTTCTATTTCATCAAACAGTAATGTGTTTTTTGTTTTTTTTTAGTCTGCCGTCTTCCAACCTTCTCCTCAGCACTGCCATCTCCTTATTATAACACCTCCACTCACCTCCTGTATGGCTACCTTTCTGCAAATACACT